TATATATACATACATATATATATATATATATATATATATATATATATTTTTTTTTTCAGCCCCCTTTGTGCATCTGCATTTGGTAACAGGTCAAATTGACAAAGATCATGCAGAATAATGTAGTATTTTAATTCCACAGCAGAGAAAGTTATTTAGTCTCTGTAAGTAGGTCAAGGGAACAAATTATCGGTATTGGTATCGGCCAAAGATCCAATATCGTGCATCCCTACAATTTAGTTTATACAATTTTTTAAATATAACTTAAATGCACCTTTAAGTTTATTATTTTTCATTCCAGTTACATTTAAAGTTGCTGCTTTCATATTGATGGAGATTCACACTTTTTGTTCATATAGTTACAGCTTAATCAATTCTCATTAGAATTTCATCCAGGTTTAGATGCATTAGTGTTGAGAAAAGTTAGTTTACATTCACAGTTCATAGCTATGGTTCAGTTGTAGAATTGATTCAAATGAATAGATTAGAGTATTCATGCTTTATATATGAAATCAGCCTCAGTTTGTCCAGCACCTTGCTTAATGCTTGTTTAATGAAAAGTGCTGACAAAAGTACCAAAACTGCAACTTGCTGTGTTTCACAGAAACACAGAAGAAAAGCAGTGGTCTCGTTGTGTTGTGAATGTTGAGAAATAAACTCCATAATATTTACAGGTAAAACGTTTCCCTGTGCACTCAGACTATATCTGTATTAAAAGCCTTATATAATTTTTCCATCCTGTTTGACGATAATGCAAGTTAAAAAGATAGACCCTTAGTTTTCACAACCTCTTTCTAACCACATTATTCCTGCTACATAAGGAATAATAAAAGAAACTTGCTTCCACCAGCGTTATTCCACACGTCAACTAATATTTGCAAAAAAGGCAATTATGCATAAAACAGTCAACTTACAATTTCTTGCAGCTGTATACTTATTTATAATAAACACTTTTTTCAAGTTGAACGACAAAGGAAAAACCAAGTCACATATTTGTAGCAGCGATGCAGTGTTAGCACTGCACAGCAGATTTCTGAGATTTGCTTTTTCTAATGTCTTTGAAAAGCAAATGAAGAAAAGAAGCAACTCTTTTAAACTGGGCAGTGTTTACCTGGGTGAAGGCACCGAGCCCTCCAGCTCATCCAACAGGCTCTCCACTGTAGGTCGAGACTCCTCCGGCCTTGTTCCATTTCTCTTTGGTTTCTCCTGAGCTGGGGGGCTGACAAGGATGTCAGGGGCGCTGCCGTTCTCATAGTGGGTGATGCTGCAGGATGGTAAGGGTGGAGCTGCCTCATCTGTGAACAGTTATTTTTTTAATAACATTGGTGAGAAAGCAGAAGACACCCCACCCCCAAATGTTTTATTGTTTTTTGTGTATGACATCTCATAAAAGTTGAAATGGATCTTGAGAACAAAAATCCCAATTCAACCAATAATCAGAACACATACATTCCCATACTCACAGTAACGTGTGTCAATTATATATCCATAAAATGTATTATTATAAGATCAGAATTTAAATATTCACATAGTTCAGTTTCCAGCTTCTATAATGTTCATATATGGTTCCCAGTTGAACAAAATCTTTTAGTTTGCCTTTGACAATTACCAGTAAGTTCGTCTTTCCAGACTTGTACATTCTGAAAGTTCCTTTATCCATCGTTTATCAGAGGGAGCCTCTAGTCGAGTCTAATTTATTTATAAAGCACATTTGAAACAGCAGCTGTTACCAAAGTGCTCAACAATAAGATCAAGGCAGCAATTACAGAAAAAAACAATAAGATGTCATTAAAAGCATTAAAATTAAAACATAAAAACAATGAGAAATAATGACATCTAAATCAAATTAAACATGAGTGAAAGCAGGTGTGTTTTCAGGAGAGATGTAAAAGCAGGGAGTGAAGTGGTCTGTCTAATGTTGGGGGGCAGATTGTTCCAGAGTTTAGGGCTTGCGATTGAAAAAAGCCTGATCTCCTCTGAGCTTCAACCTGGTTTTTGGTACAACCAAAAGCAGCTGATCAGATGATCTCAGTGCCCGAGAAGGAACATAAGGCTGAAGTATGTCAGAGAGGTATGAAGGTGCAAGGCCATTAATGCACTTAAAAGTTAACAGGAGAATTTGAAAATCAATTCTGACACGCACAGGGAGCCAGTGAAGAGAGGACAAAACTGGTGAAATTTGCTCAAACCTTTGAGCAAACCTGTTGAAGCCTTCCAGATGGAAGCTGAAACGTTTCAGCAAAAAAAAAAAAAAGAAACTGTCCAGATGACCTGACTGAAAATTGTTGGATTGTACACCTGGATTATTGAGCAGGGACTGTTTTGCTCAAACCTTTGAGTTCCTGTTAAGAGCCGAGCTGCAGCTCCACACTCCAACTGAGTGCAGTTACTCTCCTGGCTTGTACAAATCCAAAGTCCAGTCATTTGGTTCGTTTCTTTGTGTGAAGTCTTCTGGGTAGATTCCAAGTACACAGAACTTCACATCAAAAGGAATATCAATATTGAAGACTTCTGACAAGTATTTGATAACGCCTTTCCAAAATTTCTGCAATTTTGACATCTCCATAGGCAGTGAAGAATTGTTCCTTTATCATTTAAACATTTATTGCATATATATTTTTAATACCATTTTCTTTAATTTTTCTTTTATTTATTCTTCTCAAATTACGTTTTCTTTTATGATTGTCTATTGTTGTCACTGTTGTCATCACTCTGTTAAAATCAGGTCTCTCTTGTAAATGAGTCCTTGAGGCTCAATGAGACTAACCTGTAGAAATAAAGGTTGAATGAATCTGGAATATTATTGGACATCTGGTGAAGTTTGATGGGGGTTATATACGTCCTCATCGGCCACTTATATTGTAGTAATGTAAACTGTATTGTTTGTTTTTGTGCCTTTAAACAAGCTTTGCTCCAGTCATTTATGTCTTCTTGAATATCACGCCTCCAGGTGTTGAGCTTGTCCAACGCTGAGTCATATGAAGTGACCATCAATAAATTATAAAATGTTGAGAATAAAACTTTTACTTTCAATTGTCCAACACTTATTTCTTCTATTTTTTTGATAATGGTGGGGTCTACATAATGTGTCTGTATCTGGTAAACATGTAGCTTCTTAGTTGTAAATATGTAAAGAAATTATTTTTAGGAATTTGGTATTTTTCACATAATTGACTGAAGGTAAGCAACACGCCAGCCGTGTACAGATCTGGAACTTTTTGGATCCCTTTCACATTCTATAGTTTAAAACCCTCCTCCTTTTTGGCCAGGTATAAATTGTTCATTACCCCAGACAGGGGTAAACCGAGAGGCTGCTGGGAAATATGGAAAATACTGTGTTTATGTGCAGTGTGCCAATTTAAGATTGTGGTTTTCAGAAAGGGATTTTTGGTGATGACTTCTGTGATGGACCTGCGACCTGTCCAGGGTGTACCTCGCCTCTTGCACAGTGGCTGCTGGATATGGGCACCAGTGACTCTGTCTGTTTGGGTAGATCTGGGTCCAGAGTACAGTTAAAGTACCTCCTATTAAATATGGGCCCTCCAAGTCTGACAGGGTTAAGAACAGTTTTTCAAAAAAGATGGGCTATCATCATTTGGACCATAGATATTTATAAGATTAATTTTTGTGACAGAATTTTACTTTGAAGAACTACATACAATGGTGCTTGAAAGTTTGTGAACTCTTTATAATTTTCTATATTTCTGCATAAATATGACCTAAATCCATCCATTATCTTTTACCCGCTTCTTCCATTTTGGGTCAGGGGGGTCATGACCTAAGTCATTCTAAGTCATTATCTCTCAGAATCGCGCCGCTCCAGGTGGCTGCATGTTGGAGCAGCTCTGTTATTTTCATTCTGAGATTTTGCTTTTGGAAACTTTAATTCCTCCTTTTCTGGATGTAAATCACATTTTTTGGATGATTGTTTCCTCTGGTATCGGATGCTGTGCAGCTGGAAGGATTTTTATTGAAACTTTTTTAGTTTTGGACATTTGTTATGATTGCGTAACCATGGCAACAATGCAGTTTTCTACAACCAACAGCAGCTGATTAACATCTCAAAAGCTCAAATAATATCTCAACTACAGCCCCAAATCTCAAATGAGTTGAAAAGGATGTTCGGTGGACGCATTCTCATCTACCTGAATATGAATATGAAGGTAAAGTAAATCTTATAATGAAGATCCAAGTTCCCACAGACATTCAGTTACATACATTTATAGAACACAGAACCAGTTTTGAACAATCCCTTACTGAGCATGTGCATTTCTCCATGTGAAACGAACGCCCCTCCCCTTGAAACAAAATATGTGTGGAGGATGTTGATCCACAGTCCTGAGGAGCAACTAGTCAACGAGAGCACCTCCGTGATATTCCTCAAATAACACTTTCCACCAACCATGTAATTGAGACATATATTATTTTAACCCTCATCAGATAATAACTTCTTTTAAAAACTTAGCTGTCAGTAAACAAAGTTGGCCCATTTGAGCCTGCAGTTATCACAGGTCTTTTGCTGCCGGTGAAAGATTTGTGTAAACGTCTCTGCTGCCTGAGGTGTTGAGAAGAGATGAATTTTACCGTCAAACAGGACTCTGAGCCTGCAGGGGTTGTGCAGGAATCTGCAGAGGGCGTTGATGTGCACAAGCTGCTGGATGATGTGGTGAAAGCCCCTTCGGATGCAGACGGTCTCTGCAGTGTAAAGGTTATCTTGACCCCATCGTGTGTAAATCCTTGTTTCTTTGCTTCCTGATAGACAAACTCCTTTTTGAAATTTTGAGAAGTGAACCAGCATTGCTCTCGTGTGGTTTGATTTCCTGGAGGCCAGTGTGCGGTGGACCCGCTCCAGAGTGAAGGACCTCCACGACGGCTGCTTCAGCCATCTTGGAAACACGTCATTAATAAAGTTGAACAGTGAGCCGCTTCCCTCCGCTCCCTCTTGTATACAGAATATACTCAGGTTCTTTCTTTTCTTTTTCCAGGTCGTCTGTTTGGGCTTCCAGGAAGTTGATCTGTTTAATTGCAGATTTTAACTCATTTTCAGCTTTTTCAAGTGCCTCTTCCACTTCACTTATGCGAGCTTCGGTTTTGCCTATATGTGCTGCAGAGGTTATGACGTCTTGTTTTATCTCAGACACTTCCAGGTGTTGTCAATGCACTGGCATCCGGCTCAGTTTTGTATCTGTATTATGTAGCTCCAAAGTCCGACCGCCTTGATTGGATTTTGTACAGCAGCTCTGCCATGCCGTCGTCTCCAGGTCTGCTTGGCGAACTTAGCAGTTTTTTTGGGGGGTTTTGCACCCACAAGTAAAAATATCACACTGCTGTGCAGTAGATGACTTTGACATGGTCAGCACAAACATTTACAGTTCATAAGTTTTTGTTTTTTTTAAGTTGGTTCACAGTTTCGGGAGCTTTTCTGCTAAGCTACCATTTTGTCCTTTGTCACATGACTCCTCCCCAGGTGTTTTACAATTTCCCAAATCAACATCTCCTTCAGTTGGAGCCCCTCCATGCAGAAATTAAATCAGAGGAGGGGAGCACGTAAACACAGGAGGCAAGGTGATTTCACAAAATTAGAAGGTGAATACTAACTTAACTAAATAATATAAATCTAATAATAAAAATTACTATAAAAGATTATTATCATAACAGTCAAAATTATTTCTCAAAGAATAAATATTTTTTCTGTATGTCACTGTTCTGACCATCTCCTCCAGAGGGATTTTAATATTGAAATATTCTGCAAAGTGATATTTGGTTAACAGGAATTTGAATAACCCGTCCAGGGTGTACCCCGCCCCTCGCACAGTGATTGCTGGACATGGGCACCAGCGACCCCTGTGACCCAAAATGGAATAAACGGGTAAAGAAAATGGATGGATGGATGGATGGAATTTGAATAAAAGAGAGAAGGACAAATTGCACAAATAAGATGTTTTTTTTTTTGTTTGTTTGTTTCTACCTGTAGTGGGGAAGGAAGGAGAGCTCTGTTGCACCGCATTAAGTTCCAGCAGAAGCCTGTCCAGCTCCGAGAGGTTACTGCCCAGACCAGAGGTCATGGCTGCTGATGACGAGTCTGAAGTCTTGTGTTTGTTTGGAAAACTGAGAAGGACACAAAGAATCACTGAAGGTAAAAGAGCATCTTGACAGATGTGGTTCCCTTTAACCAGAGAACATCTCATGAGTGCAAAGGGCACCTGTAAACGTGGTCCTCTTCAATGTGTGACAGTGGAGAACTGCTGCTGTCCCTGGACCACGAGCTCTTCTGCCCTGAGCCTAAAGACTGCAGAGGATGCATCAGTCATTGTCTTTGTTCTAAAAATAATCTAAACCGAAACATTTCTAACAAGTTAAATATCTATGATTTTGATTGAACAGTTAAGTATCTAATGCAAGAGAGACCTACTTGCTGAGAGGAGTGGTGGGAGTTTGGCTGATCAGTCAGGGATCCATTCAGAGCCTCGGCTGAAGGTGGAGGAGGGACTGGAGGAGGCACTGACACATCTGGGTGTGTGTGTCCTCCTGTAGGGATGGAGTAGGGGGTTTCATCAGCCAAGAAGACAGGTCTCTTTGAGATGTGGGATGTTGTAGATTCCAGGTCTGCCAGCAACGCATCTAAAGAACAGGACACATTTTTAATGTATGGCACAGTTACAACTACAATTGTCTTGTAGTGATCCAAAAATCATCAGATTATACATAACCTGTCATTTAAACAAATTCATCCTACATTCATTCCCTGAACAGTCTTTAGAAGTGATTAAATGTGTCTGGAGCAGACGTTGACGAACAGTGTGATTTTTGGTTGCTCAGAGTCAGACGTGACAACTCCGTGACAGTCTGAGGTCGTTTTCACACCAGATAGTCCGGTAGACTCGGTTCGGTTTGGGACCAATATTCATGACCTTTTGTTTACATTTGAGCTGGTGCGTTTGCATTCACACTGCACTGTGCAGTCGAGTCAACCTGTTGAACCAACCTGTTCCCCCGCTCGCCTGTGGGGGCGCTGCACCAAGAACTACTGAAAGAAACGACACAAAAACATCTGAAGACACGTCTTCTTCTTCTTCTGTAAATAAAAATAAAAACGATGTGGCATCAAGTTTTAGCAGTTTTAGGAGTTATATTTTGTCATTTTTCAAAAATGGACAGCATGAGCAGAAGATGAGACAGAAGACCCTGGAGAATATTGTTTTACACACAAGGCAGCTGACGGCTCCATATGAGGTCAGAGAAATGCGTGTTTGTTTACCCTGTGGAGCGGGTCCGATCTGTTTACATTCACACTGTACTCGAACCGTGCTGGAGTTCTCTTCTACCGGACTAAGACCTAGGTTTTAGCCCGGGCCAGAGTTCGCCTTTTTGTTCCTTGACAGAGTTCGATGGCGCGTTCACACCTCCCTAAACGAGACGGACTTTCTAGGAAAACGAGCTAGAGTTCGATTCAAGCGGACTAAACAGGGCTGGTGTGAATGCACCCTTAATGTTTCTAGTGCAGAATACAACTTTAGTTTTGAATTTAACACTTATTTTGGATTATTGTGCATTAATATTATTACCGTTATAAGGTGCATTTTGCATTGAAAATATGAATGTGCCTGTTTTTAGTGTTTTACCCTGTTTCATAATGTAGCTTGTAGGAAAACGAGCTAGAGTTTGATTAAAGCGGACTAAACAGGGCTAGTGTGAATGCACCCTGAGTGTGTCAATCATGTGTCAACTACACAAAATTGTCAACTTTTAAAAATACTTTCTGTATTTTAATCCATTGGATCTTGAAAAAGCATGTTTCTCAATCCCAAATATATATTTTTTCCATCGCTCCACAATAAGAAATACAACCTTGCAGCAACAAGAAGTGCCAATCTGATTTATTTTGTTTTGTTTCATCCTAGTCATTCATTTTTTTGTCTTGATTTTTGCTCAGTCTTATTCTCAAGGACTGATAACAGAGACAGACAGACAGCATGTTTGAGTCTTGTCCAGGGTTGAATGGGTACAGAGTTATTCAGCCAAGTGTTTGGCGTAACACAGGAACAAAATAGACCCTTACATCACACAATCCATCTATCCCCAGTCTGTCCAGAATAGACCAGTCACTGGCTGCACACTGTTACACTGCAGAGGCTCGGAGGTGTAACATGGTGCTTTAAACAATCACAAGTTCACACTGTTGGAAAAGTCAGGGTAAAAATGTCTCAAGGTATCCAAGCAGACTCTTACCAATTCTAAACACAATCTATGGGAAACAACAAGTCTGTTTAAATAGCAGTTTATTCTTAAATTCATTCAACATTACAGTAAATGTTTATTAAGTCATGACAAGATTAGCATTTAACACAAACCTGTCTTTCACAAACTCAAACACACACACAGACAAGGTTTCAGAACCCAGCTGTGACTAAATCTACCTTGATTTTACAACAAAGTCACATTTAGCAAACATGAGGACAATTTATTTGTTTAATTCTCAAAGTGCAATATGTATACTCACATATTTTCCACTTGCTGTACCAGTAATATTGTCTGTAAAGTAATGGTGTGTGTGAAGCGAACAGCAGTATGGGCACAGACAGTGTGAGCGACATGAAGAGACATCACGTTAGCAGACTAGGGGAGTGGTTAAATGCTAACATTGGAGACAATATCCTTTCAGCACCCTTCCATCTTATTAATATACACTGAAAATATTGATGCAGTTTCAGCTTCAAACAGATTTTACGAATAAATACCAAAGGATTGTAACCTCACGTGTCATATTGTCATTTATGAATCAAAAGACAAAAAAAGATGCGTTTAAATATTAACTCTGATGACAAGTTTGAAAAATCTGTTAAATCTGAGCCCCTGAAACATTTCTACCCGACAGCTTTCACTATATTTAATCCTGACTCCTCATCATCACCATCTTCGGTCCAGTGGGGGGGATCCTTCCCAGAAGTGAAATGTTTTAAGTCCTGAAGTTTGACGTAAACCACATGGGAGCACAAACCTATTTAAAGCAGTAAGCTCAGTGAGTACCCATGTCTGTGCAAATGTGCTGAAATATCATGACCAGCTCAAAATAATCTGCACCTGGTGCTGACATGCTCAACAAGGCCTCACTAAAGTTGACTTTGTCACTCATAAACAAAGCCTCCGGACAGAAAAATACCATGAGGGGATTTAGGACAAAGGTGAGCCATAGAATGCAGCCAAATGAATTTGCTTACAGATTCATGTTTCTCTTACAGCAGCCTCTAAGTTGAAAAGTAAATGTTTTTGAGACTGACTACTTACTGACATGTATTCCTAGAAAGCTTCTTGGCCTTGGCAGAAGACAGCAGTTCTGCATGAAGCCCTCCTGAAGCCCGCCCTCCCAAACACTTGCAGACGAAGCAAAGTTTTACAGAATAACTGGAAATGGTCCTAAATGCTGATACAAGACATCTGCAACTCAGGAAGCAAGCCGACAATCTTCAACGTGCCAATACTTGGATGATTTTTTAATTTTAAAAGTGATGGTGTTTTAGCCTCTACATACAGGTCCTTCTCAAAAAATTAGCATATTGTGATAAAGGTCATTATTTTCCATAATGTAATGATAAAAATGAAACTTTCACATATTTCAGATTCATTGCACACCAACTGAAATATTTCAGGTCTTTAATTATTTTAATACTGATGATTATGGCATACAGCTCATGAAAACCCAAAATGCCTGTCCCAAAAAATTAGCATATCATGAAAAGTTTCTCTAAACAAGCATTAACCTAACCATCTGAATCAACAACGTAACTCTAAACACCTGCAAAAGATTCCTGAGGCTTTTAAAAACTCTCAGCCTTGTTCATTACTCAAAACCACAATCATGGGTAAGACTGCCGACCTGACTGCTGTCCAGAAGGCCATCATTGACACCCTCAAGCAAGAGGGTAAGACACAGAAAGAAATTGCTGAACGAATAGGCTGTTCCCAGAGTGCTGTATCAAGGCACCTCAGTGGGAAGTCTGTGGGAAGGGAAAAGTGTGGCAGAAAACGCTGCACAACGAGAAGAGGTGACCGGACCCTGAGGAGGATTGTGGAGAAGGGCCGATTCCAGACCTTGGGGGACCTGCGGAAGCAGTGGACTGAGTCTGGAGTAGAAACATCCAGAGCCCCCGTGCACAGGCGTGTGCAGGAAATGGGCTACAGGTGCCGCATTCCCCAGGTCAAGCCACTTTTGAACCAGAAACAGCGGCAGAAGCACCTCACCTGGGCTACAGAGAAGCACTGGACTGTTGCTCAGTGGTCCAAAGTACTTTTTTCGGATGAAAGCAAATTTTGCATGTCATTCGGAAATCAAGGTGCCAGATGTCTGCAGGAAGACTGGGGAGAAGGAAATGCCAGAAGTCCAGTGTGAAGAACACAGTCAGTGATGGTCTGGGGTGCCATGTCAGCTGCTGGTGTTGGTCCACTGTGTTTTATCAAGGGCAGGGTCAATGCAGCTAGCTATCAGGAGATTTTGGAGCACTTCATGCTTCCATCTGCTGAAAAGCTTTATGGAGATGAAGATTTCATTTTTCAGCACGACCTGGCACCTGCTCACAGTGCCAAAACCACTGGTAAATGGTTTACTGACCATGGTATTACTGTACTCAATTGGCCTGCCAACTCTCCTGACCTGAACCCCATAGAGAACCTGTGGGATATTGTGAAGAGAAAGTTGAGAGACGCAAGACCCAACACTCTGGATGAGCTTAAGGCCACTATCGAAGCCTCCTGGGCCTCCATAACACCTCAGCAGTGCCACAGGCTGATTGCCTCCATGCCACGCCGCATTGAAGCAGTCATTCATGCAAAAGGATTCCCGACCAAGTATTGAGTGCATAACTGAACATGATTATTTGAAGGTTGGCGTTTTTTGTATTAAAAACACTTGTCTTTCATTGGTGGGATGAAATATGCTAATTTTTTGGGACAGGCATTTTGGGTTTTCATGAGCTGTATGCCATAATCATCAGTATTAAACAATTAAAGACCTGAAATATTTCAGTTGGTGTGCAATGAATCTGAAATATATGAAAGTTTCATTTTTATCATTACATTATGAAAAATAATGACCTTTATCACAATATGCTAATTTTTTTAGAAGGACCTGTATATATATCCACCAGCTCTGCTGTTCTTTCTTCTCCCACATGGCCCCCCTCCTTTCACTCACTGCAAATTCAGCCCCTACCCGTGCGCTCTTCCCTACTTTCTGCTTCTCTCCAGGTGGAGTGGCTGCCTGTGGCATGTAGCAGCCCCCACAACAACAACAACAAAAAATGGATAGAGAGCAAGTCGCAGAACTGGTGAGCAGGAAGAAAAATAATGGCTCTGTTATTTGGAGATGGTTCTGATTTAATTTGTCAGATGTGCAACAGAAAAATGCAGAAAATAAATCCCAATGAAAATGTTCGAGTACATCTTTTTCACCATTTAAAGCAGCGCTATAAGTGGAGTATGAAGCGTGTTAAACTTGGTGCTGCAGCTCCAGCTGTGAAGCTTCCTTCCTTGAGACAAACTACTGTACGAAACTCTTACCTGTGCTGTGCCTTATGAGAGGTGATGTGAAGAAAACAGCGTCTTATCATATCGCTAAAGACACGGTC